GGCGTCCCGGGAACCGCTTGCGCATTACTTCCGGGACGCCCTCAGCCGCGAGGCGGGGAAGTTAAACTCCGCCCCCTTCCCGGGCCGAGAGGGATTATTCCCTCCCGGCCCGCTGTTCCTGTCCTCCATGACCGGACGTGGGCCCCCCCGTCCGGTCACACCTCGCCTGTTGGGGGCGCTTGCGGCCGGGTCCGATCCCGTCCGGACCCGGCCCGCCCCCACGCTCCCGACCGAGGTTGCTGGGGCGGAGGGGTCTAAGTGTTCCCCTCCGCCCCTCCCGGTCAGGAGCCTTCTGGAACTGGGAGGGGGGTGGGCGGCCTAAGAGCCCGCCCTTGCAAGCCGGCCGCCCTGCCCCCCTCCCGGAGGCGCCTGGTCTGACTTCTTGTCACGGGGGGGGGAGTCGCGCCTTGCTGCGCGTCTCCCCCGCCCGACCAGGCGCCTCCTGTCTCCCCCTCGCCGGGCCCTCCGTTGATCAGGAGGGCCCGGCGGCATTGTAGGGGGCTGCGGCGCACGCGCAGGTACCCCGGGGGAGGGAACGCCAGCGGTGGCGTCCCCTCCCCGCCCGCGAGTGCGCTGCCCTTCGACCCCGCGCTGATGTGCGGGCAGGCGAGGCGCCGCTCTCCTTCTGCGGCGCCTCGCCCCATCCCCGGGGGCGGCGGTTTCACCCCGCCGCCCCCTTTCCGCCTCCTCCTTCTGCGACACGACTGCGACCAGCCCTCGTCTCCCCCAAGCATGGCCCTTATAAGGGCCGGGGGAGAGAGGTCCGCTCCCACCACGTCGATCAGGACTCGGCGCTCCACATCCCAGGAGGGGCATTCCTCCAGGGTGTGTTGCGCCGAGTCCACCTCAGCGCCACAGTGGTGGCAGCGGGAGTTAGGCTCCCTACCAATCCTGTGCAGGTACTCACCGAAGCATCCATGTCCGGTGAGTACCTGCGTCGTCCGGAAGGACAGCTCTCCGCGGACCCTGTCTACCCATTCTTGTAGACAGGGCCGGATGGCCTCGGCGACCCTCGTTCCCGAGTGGCCCGTCGCCTCCTCCAGGTGGATGCTCCACCTTAGGAGGAGGCGTTGACGGGCCTGCACTTTGGCTATGCCAATGGCCCTGGCCAGGTGTTCGAGGTCTCCCCCGGCACGGAGCTCCTTGACACGCCGATAGGTTTCGGCGTGCATTTGTGCAAGGAGCTCCAGCGGGGGGAGACCGGCCAGGGCCGTGGCGGCCATATGCGACGTCGTCCTATAGGCCCGGGCGAGGCGAATGGCGACCCACCGCTGAGCGCGGTGAGCCAGCGCAATTATGCGCTGGTTGGTCGCCATCGCACTCGCCCAGACCGGGGCCCCATATAGGGCCATGGACTGGACGACGCCGGCATACAGCCGCCTTGCCTTCCTCTTAGGGCCGCCGAGATTGGGCAGGAGGCCACCCAACATATTGGCCGTATTTAATAAACCTTAATTTAACACATTTTAAAAAATTAACACTGTTAACATATTTAACGAATTTTAATAACAACAAAACAGTTCAACAGATTAAATAACAAACTAAAATATTTTTTTTACAATAAATTTCAAAGTGTCCACCATCGCATTCAATACATAATTGTGCGGGTCGCAATAGATTGCTTGTTGCGTTTATAATTATGTTTAATGTTGTTTCAACAATTTTACCTTACAATTCCTCGTGATTATTAACTGGCTATTTATGTATACATGTTTTTAATATGATCGCATAAATAGTAATCCAAAGGTGTCATATCGAGTGACTGATCAACTTATAGGACCATCTTCTCGAAAATTTTTTTTCAAAGTGTAGCACACATCCCGCATTATGTAGTAGAATTTTATTAGAAAACGCGTCGTCGTCAAATATTTAATGAAATATTCTTTAAAAATTCTGATAAATTATTATCTACAAAATTTTTATAAATAGTATCATCAAGTCTTATAGGCATTTTAAACAGTCCATCTGTAATT